ATGGGCTTGTGAGATAGAGGAAAGGGAAGGCCTAGGATTAAGTATTGTGATAACATCAAAGACATTAGCGGTATGTCTATGGTTGAAGCGAAAAGAGAATGGAGAATGAATGGTGAAAAGGCCACGGCTGTTCAATTCTGTCTTTGATGATATATATATATGTGTGTGTGTGTGTGTGTGTGTGTGTGTGTGTGTGTGTGTGTGTGTGTGTGTGTGTGTGTGTGTGTGTGTGTGTGTGTTTATGTTTTATTATTACTTTATTAATACCACCTTGATGATTGACACATCTTGATAACGATTATTAATACTATCGCTATTACTATTATCACCATCATCATCACTGATATTAACATTGTCATTATCATCAGTTGAAGTCAACGATGATAATATGAATAAAAATCGACATATTCATATTGATACCTTCATATCCACTGTATTTTGTCACTGTTGTTGTAATTATCACATTTTTTTCTTGCTGTTACCATTTCGGTATCCTCACCATCACTCTTGGTATTATTTACACGTCTAACACCGTTATGGAATCGAACTGTGTAATATAACACATGTTTTGCATATATATTAATACATCTAACACCTTAACACATACTTTGCATATGTATTAACACACAGATATTTTGCATACATATCAACACCCCCGTCAAAATATACTTTGCACACATAAAAAACATCTAATATATCGACATATATTTTGAACACAAAGTAATACTTATCCACATATATTTCGCATACTTTAACACATCCAACAACATATATTTTGAACACAAAGTAATACTTATCCACATATATTTCGCATACTTTAACACATCCAACAACATATATTTTGCACACATAACAATACATCTAATATGTCCACATATATTTTGCATTCATATCAACACAAAAAATGCAAACTATTTAACAACATCCTTTTTCTTTGCTCAGTGCTGGTGTTGCAGAGAGCCAGAAGGAGTTGCTGTCTGCTAGCTACCGTAAACACGTCCGGCCAAAACCAAAAGGTAAAAAAAATAAATATAAATAAATAAATAGATACATACATGCATAGGTGGTTATTTATTTATTGAACCAGGTTTTAAATAATAATTAAGTCAATATTCTTTTTTATGAAATGAAAAATATATTTGTATATGAATGAAAAACATATTTGTAAGTTAGTCAAAAAATAACATTTGCAATTGATTACAAAAACACACACTTACCCGGAAGTGAGCTAAATATAACACATTTGGGAGAGAAAGGAGAATAACAGTTCCGTAGATAAATAAGGTTAACACATAAATAAGATAAGTCAAGCGCACTTCAAAAAACACTAGTTCTTTAGAAGAGAAGTCAATAAACATATTTGTATCCGATATTACTCATGGCCAATATACACAGCGTTCACAATATGATCTGAGAGGCATATAAAACGGTTGGTGAAATATCAGAGCACTGAAAATGTAAAACAGAAATGTAAATGTATACTGGTATATCTAACCAGTGAAACAAATTTCATACCGGTGCCAAATACCGGGACATCAATTTACCGGTTTTTGGTCTAAGTTTACAAACATCAGGAAGTAGACTCTGACAATATTGTTACTCCCATTTAGAGGTTTAGTTGATAAATACTTAATTAGGCCAATAATTAGATGATATTTGTTATCCTAAACGATAACAAATATCGTGCTTATACTTTGGAAAGAAAAAAGAAAACTGGCAACTGATTCGCCGTTTTACATCTATTACAGTTATCTGACGCTTAATACTTAGGGTTACATATGTTTGTTATTTTTAGGCTGGTATGTAATATTTTTCGTCATCTTATCGAAAGTTGCTGCCTTCATTAAGGCGAGTTGCCAATTTTTCTTTTTTCTAGAATTGGAGTATAGTTATCATTCCATTATAGTGGACAGTTATATATCGAGGTTATCATATTCGTCTCCCTCATTACTGTTTCCCAACAACCTGTTTCCTCAGCATTCGAAAGTTTGTTACTTTACCATATAATCTTTGTTAAATTTTTCCCCGATGATACTTACCCCAGAGTAAGGACTATATAAAACAGTCTGTTTCGTTTAGACTAAAGGTTCTCAATTTCTTAAATTCGTCGATCCACAATCGAGTTTCAGGTTTCCAATCGACCCCTTAGCTCTTAATTCAAGGAGAAAGAAAAACTTTGATCATAAAGTAAATGTGAGTTGTAGTAGTAGTCGTACCAGTAGTAGTATAGTAGTAGTAGTAGTAGTAGTAGTAGTAATAGCTGAAATACAGTATGATGAAAAGGAAACAGCAGTCATTGTCTACCATACAGAATGTACGACTTCAATGCACAATAATAATTTTCCGAACAATACTGAGAGCTGAAAATATAGTGAATTACTTTTTTTCTAAGCAAGAGAGACGGGAGTGGGTAGGAGAGACGATGAGGGGGAAAGTTACCAAAGCTTCTGAAATTCTTGAACGTTTACTGCAATTTTAACCTCCTGGCTAAATTTAAGGA